GAGGATGATAGGATGATGATGGTGATGGTGGTGATGCTGATGATGGTGATGATCATGGTGGTGGTGATGGTGGTGATGACGATGCTGGTGGTGGTGATGATAGTGTGTAATGATGATGGTGGTTGGTGGTGATGAGGGTGATGATGACCATGATGACAGGAGCAGCTGACATCGGCTGAGGATTTACTCTGGGCCAGGCACCGTGCGAAGCACTTTACACATATGACCCATTTAATCTTCACACCGGTTCTAGTTGGAATTATTATGCTCATCTTCCCCCTTTTGCAGAAGAGAAAACTGAAGCACAGAAAGACTCAGTATCTTGCCCGGGGTCACACAGCTAAGAATTAGCAACGCTGGGTCCACAGCCAGGCAATCTGGCCTCAGAGCATATATTCAGACCCATGACCTTGTGCTCCTCTGAGTAGAGCTGGTCAAACAGGAGACCTGAGGTGGGGCCTTCGGACCTGGTCTCCCCTCACACATGATGCTGATGGACCAAAACATTACAGGCATTCCTGAAAGGCCCCAGATTCCCAACATGAGAGAGGGTTAATGTCTTAAACCCTAAACCTGGCTGGGGTGGGAGATCCAAGGATGCAGTGGCTGGGGGTGGGGGCAGGCAGTGGTTGGGGGCACTGGCTTCATTCCCAGGCTGATCTGGGCTCAGCGCCCAGAGCTACAGTGCCGCCACTGTGTGACGCTGAGCAAGTCCATGTCCTCCTCTGCAACAGGGAGCTTGGACTGGGCCTGAACTAATAGCTGAGACAGGGACTAAATGGGACAGTGAACATCAAGGTCTTTGTATGGTGCCTGGCCCACAGTGAGCAATCAGATGCGCACCTTTATGTTTTTCTCTTCTTCTTACTGATGACTCTCCAGGACTCACTCTGCTTTCTCCCCAGTATTTGTTTGCTGGAGGAAACCAGCCCCTGCTGATGTGATAAACACCAGCTCACACTTCTGGAGAAAATTATGATTGATACAAGAGGCTCATGATTGAAATTCTACAAAGATGACAACTCCCAGCAGGGGCTGATGAGAGCCTCAGAGGCAGCTCACAGAAGGGCCACCCAGGGCGCTCCTTTAGTATTTTTATTTTGTAATTAACTTTTTCTGGAAACCCTTGTAGATTTACAGAAAAGTTGAAATATAGTTGAGAGAGCTCCCACATGCCCTTCATGCAGCTTCTCCTGGTGGTAATATCTCACCTGGCCACCGTGCATTTGTCCAAATGAAGGAATGAACGCTGGTGCCATGCTATTGGCTAAACCCCAGACTTTATTCAGATTTCACCGGTTTTTCCAGGTGTGTTGTTGCAGGACACCGTCCAGCCTACTAGATTGTGTTTGGTCTTTCCATATTTTTCAAAAAACACTTCTTAGCATATCAATTACATCCTACTTTTTCTGAGTACACAAATAACACATGTTCCTTTGGAAGGCATTTCGACACTAGAGAAAGGTACAAAGTGGGAAAGTGAGTGCCATCCTCAAAGATGACCTTATTAACAGTCTGTGGACATTCAATTTTACTTCTCCTGCATGGCGTGTGAGGACAAACACACACACACACACACACACACACACACACACACACCTAATTTTATCAAAAGACCACTCTTAACGATACATACCTCTCCCCAGTTACCTTTTTGACTTCACAATATAATGTGGACAGCTTTCTTTCCAAATGCAGTGGCATTTTGCTTTTAAAAAGTCTTTCTTTCTTTCCTGACTATGAAGCCATACATTGTCGAAGAGAGCTAAAATCTCATAGGATCTCTCCCTTCCTCTCTCCAAAGACAACAAAAATGCAACCATAATGTAAAGTTTGGTATACATTCCATGCACCGACACAAACATCCATCCATATGCGTACACATACAAATAGGCGTGTACATTTCCCAGAAGAGACTCATACTAAATATGCTGTGCATTTTGCTTTGTTTTCAAAAATTAATTAACAATATGTTGGATGCATCTTCCTGTATCTGCACATTCTTTTTAACAGGCAGGTCATATTTCATAATGTTGATATATACACATGTATATATGATTATGATATATATAATAATTTATCTAACCAACCCCTGTTGATAGACTTTCTGGGTTTTCCTTTTTTCCCTTTTACAAACAATGTTGCCGTGGACTTTGTAGCAAGGTATCTCTTCACATTTGCAGGAGTGTTTCTCTAGGATAACATTTCTAGAAGTAGTGTGTGCTGTCTTTACTAAGCTTGGTTGTAGACCATCCCCCAAGCCCCCCACATGAGGATAAGTGCAGGATGCACTCATTCCTTCCCCCGCTCTCTCTCTCTCCTTTCCAGATACTTTCATGGTGGAAGATGCAGTGGAAGCCATTGGGTTTGGAAAATTTCAATGGAAGCTGTCTGTTCTCACTGGCTTGGCTTGGGCAAGTATTTCTGGGGGTGGTAACCTCACATTCAGTCTCCAGGAAACCTCATGCTGCCCAACTGACTTCCAGGGGCCATAAGGAAGGACATAGTTCCCTCCACATGGAGCCTTTGCTTGAATCAACAAAAGTTTATGTTGCGTGATCCCGGTGATCATGAAGATCCAGCCTTGGCAAGAGTTTGAGTGTAGTTGGCGATTGCCCTCAAGGTGGATTTGAAGCTTCTGGCTAAATTAAGTGGTGGTTCTCAACCATTTGGGACTCAGGGCTGCCATAAGATTATGATGTCGTCTGTGGAGCTCACCCTAGATAAACATGCACAAATAAAAATGTGCCTCCTGCTTCAAGAGTTTCATGATCCTTTGTTAAAAATCCCCTAATCCACCTCTAGCAAAGAAAACATCTAGACCTTTAATACAATTGAAACTGACTTTTATGAATGCTGCAAGATGGTGACCAAACTACCTATTTTTTTCAAATGAATCTCCAGTTTCCCCACACCATTGTCCCCCCTAACTTAAAAAGCCACCTGCATTATCCATCACATTCTCACGGCCATGTGGGTCTGCTTCTGGTCTCTCATTTCTGTCTCGTCTCATAAAGGTACCACGATGTGTAATTACTGCGACTTCCTGGTGTGTGTTAATACATTAAAAGGTCGTCTTTGTTAAATATACTGACAGTTCTGCCTGAGGTTTATAAACCAAAGATAAACTGGTCTTTAATTGAGCTAAAGAGAAAAGGTCATTGTCTCTCTACCTCTACAAAAGGTTTTCTCAGATTTTAGAGATAGAATGTTTCCCCACTTCATTTGGGGAATGCCCCTATTGTTTTAAACACAGAAACACACAGAATGTTAAATGCCTACTTGTCAATTCCCACGTGGTACCACACTGTTTGAACTACCGGACCTTTCAGTGTGTTTCGATGTGCAGAAGGGTGCTCAGCAGCCAGTGGAAGAGGGTGGTTCTGCATGCTCTCCCAGGGATCATGGACTTGGGTGCAGCCGGCCCCAGCCCTGGGCAGATCCTGGCCTCACGATGTTTGCTTCCTCTCTGCAGATGGCCGATGCCATGGAAATGATGATCCTGAGCATCCTTGCACCACAGCTACACTGCGAATGGAGACTCCCCAGCTGGCAGGTTGCATTGCTGACCTCGGTAGGCAGCCCTGCCGCTCTCTCCGGTCATGCGCGTTCAGAACACCCCCTAGGGCATTCTGTGGGGTGTCTCCCTCTCTTGCTGCTGGCAAGCGCTCAGCAGGAAAGAATTAAGCCCTGGTTGGAAACAATGGGGACCCCAGCTTCCTTTTACTCCGCTGTGCACCTTGCATATCCCGGCAGGTTTGCAGCCAACACTGCTCCACCCAGGGGTCCCATGACCTGGGGTCCCAGACTTTCTGCTCAATTGCTGGGAAGTTGGAACCCACCTGCACATGAACCTCCTAACCTCACTTGATGGCAAAAAGGAGATGCCAGTTCCTCTTGCACAAGGGTGATCTGAGGATTGAAACAACACCGTGCCTGACACATAGTAGAGGTTTAATAAATGGTAGGGAGCGCTGCTCCCTGAATTAAGACTTGACGGAGAGTGAGGGAGAACCCTCAATATTTGTTAGGAGAGTCCAGCGGCAACCGTCTAAAAGGGAGGGGAATGGCCAGGCTGGATAAGAGGGTAATAATAATGGTACAAAAGCTAATATTTCTTGAGCTCTTACTGTGCAAAGAGCTTTCCATATATTGCATGCAATCTATGCATAATATATATTGTGCTCTTTAATCCTCACAACCCTAGGAGGTAAGTACTATTATTAGCTGAGGAAAATGAGGCACAGAGAGGTAAAGTCACTCGCAAAATGTCACACAGCCCAGCTACTGGCAGAGTACAGTCATAGCTAACTAGGAGCACCCCCCAGAATGCTGTAAGTGTTCTGGAGTGGCTTGAGCGCCTTCAGCAACCAGGCCTGATATCAGCACTGATACCCCCCTGAAGCATACCCACAGGGCTGTATTTTTGCAGTGTGGAGACTTCTTGGCTGTAACAGTCACCACTTACTGGCCAAGCTTCCGTGGGAAAGTTAGAACGCAGCGGGAGTTGCTTTACCTGCATAATGTACATAAGGAGGATAAGAAGGACCCACACTGTTGTCATAGGAAATATGGTGCAATATTACCGTAACTACCGTGGTATCAACTGGTGCTCTGCTGTGCCTAG